ACAGCAGGAGGCCATTCATCTTCTGAGAACAATGAATAATTGTAGCTTGGCAATATAGAGTGACAATACAATGTTTAAAAATCAAATAGCCAAATGCAACATAAACCATTGGCTATTTCTGGAAGTCTTATGTGTTTGTTATTGTTTTTTTGTTTTTAAAAGTCAAGGACACAAAGTCAACATAAAGTACAGATAATTAGTTGGGTGAAATTAGAATCTGTTAGCTGAGCACAAGAAGTAGACAGTAATCTTTGCTACCTCTTGTGGAGATAAAGTGGTTCACTCTATTATTTCATAGCTGATGGTACAATGGTGATCTGGAGAACTAGTAAGATTATTTTTGATGTACTATGTTTTAGATAACAGTCATCTGTGCATTTTTTTGGGATTTTCATGAGGAAATGGGTTTAATGTGATTTTCATTATAAAATGGTTAAGATACAGACTTCCACAGACATTGACTACACTGATACCCAGCCCTCCATAATGTAGATGATAAACTTAGCTTTCAAAAACAGGTTTTTGTGATGAAAATAACGCATTCCTTCATTTGACAAAAAAGAAAAAAGCACACCAACTTATTGAGGCCCCTACTTAGTGCCCATTAGGTCCTTGGGATACAGTAATGCACAGTTCAGAAAGATCTCTGCTATACGTTTTCTTGTATTATATTGGGGAAAGGAAACTGATAATAAGAAACCAAATAAACAAGATACAATTTTAGGTGGTAAGTTTACATGACAGTGAGTAATAACTTGTTTGCCTAAAAAAATTCTACCGTCTAAAATATCACTACAAATACTTTAGTGTTTCTCATTCTAATATCTGTATGAAAGCATAATAAATAAATGAGATACTATTATATAGTTTTGTAACCTACTTTTAATTAACAATATACAATATTGTAAGTATTTTTTTCATGGTATTATACGTTTTTCCACAAAACTGTTTATTTGGCTACCCGAAACATACTATTTTGAATGAATATAACATAATTTATTCACATTAATCCTCTAGATTAGCCCTCATTTTTCCTCATTACAATCAAGGATATAATGAACACCCAGGTTGGTAAATCTTCATGTGCATGTGTAATCGTGTCCTTAGAATGAATTTCTTGCATCAAAACTGTTGGTTCAAATGGTATTCAAATTTCAAAAATTGGGCCAGTCGTGGTGACACATGCTTGTAATCCCAGCACTTTGGCATGCTAAGACTGGCAGATCATGTGAGCCCAGGAGTTTGAGACCAACCTGGGCAATATGGTGAAATCTGTCTCTACAAAAAATACAAAAGATTAGCCACACGTGGTGGCATGTGCCTATAGTCCCAGCAAACCTGGGAGGCTGAGGTAGGAGGACTGCCTGAACCCGGGTCGAGGTTGCAGTGAACCATGATCGTGCCATTGCACTACAGCTTGGGTGACAGAGTGAGACCCTGTCTCAAAAAATAAAATAAAATAAATAATTCAAAATGTGATGTACTTTTTAAAACAGTCTTCTCAAAACGCTGTATAATTTAGCCTCCCTCTGACTGTTGATAAGGTCTCTGGTTCACCTCATCCTTAACAGCACTGAATAATATCTCCCCCTCCCCACCCAACTTTATGGGAGGAAAAAAACTCATTTTCATTTTGACATCTATTATTTTTCTCTCTTTTTAAGATACAATTCACATATCATGAAATTCACCACTTTAAAGTGTACAACTCAATGGTTTTCACTATATTCACAAAGTTGTGTAAGAACCATCACCACTATCTAATTCCAGAACTCTTTTCTAGCTCGGAAAGGAAATCCCATACTCATTAGCTGCAACTCTCGATTTCCCTCTTCTTCAACCCTGGCAGCTACTAAGCTGCTCTCTGTTTCCATGGATTTGCCTATTCTAGGGATCTCATATAAATGGAATGATACAACACGTGGCCTTCTCTGCCTGGCTTCTTCCACTAAGCACAATGTTTTCAAGCTTCATCCATGTTGTAGCATGTATCAGTAATTCATTTCTTTTCATTGCCAAATACCATTTCATTGTATGGATCTTCCACATTTGATTTACCCATTCGTCAGTTGATGGACACTTTGCTTATTTCCACTTTTTCGTTATTATGAACAAAGCTGCTATGAACATTTATGTACATGTTTTCATGTGAATATATGTTTCCAATTCTCTTGGCTACATACCTAGGAGTGGAATTGCTGCCTTGTCTGGTGACTCTTTAATTTTGGAGTAACTGTTAGACTGTTTTTTATATTGACTACACTGTTTCACCTTCCCACCAGCTATGTCTGAGGGTTCCACGTTTACCACATCTTCAACACTTGTTTTTTGTTATTTCTTAATTACAGCTAGCCTAGTGGGTGTCAAGTGGTATCTCATTGTTGTTTTGATTTGTATTTTTGTATTTTTCTCTATCCTTTTTTTTTTTTTTTTTGAGATATGTGTGCCTTTATTAGCTGAGCTACTACTTGAGGGGGATAAAGCGGGAAGAGTGGGTGGCCCCGACGGCCGGGCCGGCAGTGCTTCACGGGCTTGTAGGTGATGGAGAACTCGCCCAGGTAGTGGCTGATAATCTCTGTCTTGATCTCCACCTACTTGGAGGTCTTGCAGTTGTAGACGCCCACCATGCTGCCCACCATCTCGGGCAGGATAATCATGTCTGCAGGTGCATCATTACTTCCGGCTTCTTCACGGCATGGTGGGCGGTGGGGGGGCCCTTCGTGGCCTTGTGCAGGCGCTTCAGCAGCGAATGCTGTTTCCGCCACAGGCCCGGGGTCCGCTGCCGCCGCTGGCGCGCACTGTACAGCTGCATCAGCTGCTTGTAGGATATTGTACAGCAGCTGGTCCAGGTCCACACCGCCGTAGGTGAACTTACGGAAGGTCTGCGTCTTCTGCTCTACCTCTGCCATCTTGCCGGATCCTCAGAAAAGCTGATTTGTATTTCTCCAATGACTAAGGATGTTGAGCCCCTTGTCATGTGCTTATTGGCTATTTGTATATTTTCTTTGACGAAGTATCTGTTCAAATCTTTCTCCCATTTGCAAATTACATTATTTTGTTTGAATTGGAGAGAATGTAAACTATTTTGCTGCTTGTAGCTGCTCCCCAAGCTTCTGGATACCGTTGTTAAAAAATATCATGACTTAGATTTTATCCCCTTGTTCTTGGAATCCTCAGGTTTCTGTGACACAGAGTTGAAGCCAGAGTTCAATCATTCTAGGGAACACTCAGCACCACTGTAGCACCTAGAGAGATCATCTGGAGGGAGTGATTTTTGTCTCAACAGATGCATTTTCAGTGAAGATGAAACTAATCCATTTTGGAGAGAGATGTTAGAGAACTGATGGGGTTCAGGACATGCTACCTTGGCACATGAGAAAACAGCAGAAGCAAGAAGGTTACTTACTTTACCCAGATCTTCTCTTCTGAGGCAGGCTTATGAGACTTTCATTCCAAAAGTGCCTTCCCTATACCTGGAGGAAAGGGATATCCTTATCTCTGAAGGCACAGGTGCAGGGAGAAGAATCTGAACAAATAGGCCTTTCCAAGTAAGTCTCCCCAGTTTATTACCATTAGATCATAGACATTTGTCCAATCATACTTCTCTATGACTTCCACTTCTTTATCAATTCTAGCCTTAAAAATACACAGATTTCTCTATTAACGTTGGGTCTTCATTTCTGAAGGCTCCTGTTTTGTGTAAAACATATAAACAAATTAGTATATTTTTCTCTTGTTCATGTGTCTGTTGTTACAGGGGCTTCAGCCATAAACCTAGTAATGAATGAGGAAATTTTTTTCCCCTTCTATATAGAGCATACACTAGCTGCAAGAAGAAAGAAGAGTATGCCTGGTTTTAAAGCTTCAGAGAATTATTCACACCCCTATATTTAACATTCTAGAAATGCATCTGGAGTTAAAGCCCTCTTGGAGATTTGAGAAAAATGCACTTACGCATGCCCTTTTGAAACCTAATGTTTCTACAAGGAGGCACTTGCAACTCCTTCTAGAAGCTTCCCTAAATCTCCTGCCTCCCCAGCTGAGTTACCCAATGTCTGAAATGTCACAGCACATAGTCTTACTCTTCTATGGTCTAGTTACTTTCTACTGGTATTTGTGTTACTCATGCTACCCATCTTATCTCCCTCACTGTGTGAGACGCAGTAATTTTCAGTAGGATATAGCAGGTGCTACAGATGATTAGCAAACTTTGCTAATCATCTGTAGCACCTGCTATATCCTACTGAAAATTACCAAAATGCAATTAACTTCAATTTTACATTTGGGATTTACAGAAATTAACTCTGTCTCCAAGAAATGTGTTAACAGTTTAGCTAGGGCAAATGCCAGCTCCAAGTTAAGACATTAATGCGCTTCTATCGCGAAAAGGATTTGAGCCTCATCCTCATCTTTCTGTGATGTCTAATTCAAGTTAGGTCAGTAAAGAAAACCTTTTCCTCTTAGCAACCCAATCTGCTTCCCTTCTCTGGCCTGTTTCTTTCCTTTTGTTGGTAGACGACTTTAGCCTCTGTCCTTTATTTTTAAACAGTTCATGCTCCACGTGTACCCCTCGTCTTTTTGTGATCTAGAGATTTTCAAAGCCTGTTCTGACACAGAATCTTCCCTGGATTCCGACTTCTCTACTTTGGGGTGGAAACGGCTTCCTCGTTTGGAAACGCTAGCAAGGGAAAAAATGGGGGAGAAAGTTGCATTTAAACTTTTAAAAGTTGAGTCACAGCTGGTTGCGCAGCAAAAGCCCCGCAGTATAGACAAAGCCTGAACGTGGTTTGGGTGGTGCGGGGTTGGGCGGGGGTGACTTCTGGGGGACAAGGGATCGTGGAGCCCCGGTACTGCCGGGGTCCTGCCGCGGCCTCCGGCGCGCCCCCCGCCCCTCCCCCGCCCCTCCCCCACCCGGCTCTCCCCCCTCCCCTCCTCCACCCGGCTCTCCCCGGGACAGATGTCGCGCTTGCGTGTTGTGGCCGTAGCGCCGGACTCAGAGGCCGGCCCCAGAAAACCCCGAGCGAGTAGGGGGGCGGCGCGCAGGAGGGAGGAGAGCCGGGGGCGCGGGTGGCTGGTGGGTGTCGGGGGTGGAGATGTAGAAGATGTGACGCCGCGGCCCGGCGGGTGCCAGATCAGCGGACGCGGTGCCCGCGGTTGCAACGGGATCCCGGGCGCTGCAGTTTGCTAGGCGGCTCTCCCCAGGCGCCGGCCGCGGAGACACCCTTCCCTGAACCCCAGCTTTCGGGCCGCCGGCTCGCCGCGCACCAGGAGCCGGCGGACAGAAGAGCGGCCAAGCGGCGCGAGGCTGGGGGCCCGCGGGCGCGGCCGCGCACTGCCGGGCGGGAGGCTGGGGGGCCGGGGCCGGGGCCGTGCCCCGGAGCGGGTCGGAGGCCGGGGCCGGGGCCGGGGGGCGGCGGCTCCCGGCTCGGCTCCAGCGGCTCGGGGTGCCCGGCAGGGCCCCGGAGGGACCATGGCAGCCGGGAGCATCACCACGCTGCCCGCCCTGCCCGAAGACGGCGGCAGCGGCGCCTTCCCGCCCGGCCACTTCAAAGACCCCAAGCGGCTGTACTGCAAAAACGGGGGCTTCTTCCTGCGAATCCACCCCGACGGCCGAGTGGACGGGGTCCGGGAGAAGAGCGACCCTCACAGTGAGTGCCGGCCCGTTCTCCCCGTCCCATTTCCATTTCCCGGGTCCTCGCCCGCTGTCTCCCCTCCATCCTGCGCGCTCCTCCCGGATCTTCATTGCGACCCTAGCGGTCCCTGTGGTTTCTGGCCGCGTGGCCTTCGGCGGTTTCGGGTTCACCACTCGCCCCCTCCTTCCCGAGCTGCGGCGTAGGCCCGGGCGTCCCCCGGGCTTTGGGGTGTTCCAGTTTGCCCTGTAAACCAGTCTCCCCGGCCCGGAGCCGCGGCGCGCCGGGCCCTCGCGTACGGGCTCCCTTCACGCAGACAACCTGTCGCGTCGGGGATCTCCGCCGTGCAGCTTTGGCAGCTTGTGTGTCTGCTGCGGGGGACAGAGTGTATTTTCCTCAAAGACAGGACGGACCGCAGCAGAACAAAACGGTCTTTACTGGAAAAACAGCTTTCCAGAGTCCTGCCCTTAAATTCCCACTCGGGAAGAACCGAGGCATTATGGCACACTCCTCTCACCCACTCAGTTTTGTATTTTTCCGAATTGACGAAAGCTGAAAGAGCAAAAACAAAACCCAACCAGCAAGAAATCCAGATGTTGTTAATAACTTGCGACAGATTGGTTTCAGTAGTGAAAAGAAGTGCAAAGACTTTTAATCTTCCACCTGCAGTGACTAGCCTTGAGACCTTGGGCCAAAGCGTAACCCCAGAGCCGGTTTCCACATCCCTAACGTGGGGCTAATACCTACGTTGCAGCAGGTTTGAGGATTAAATGAGAATTGTAGTTTTGCTTTCTCTAAGAAACAATGTTTATGATTCTAGAAAGAACACTGGCCTAAATCAGGGGTTCCTGGACTTTAGGGGACTTCCTAAGTCTGGAGTAGGGGCTGAAGAGTTGCATTTCTAACATGTTCCCCGGGGATGGTGATCACATCATACTTTGAGAGCCACTGGTCTAAAGGAAAGAAGAAAGGGGCGTAAGATGAGCCAATTTACAACACTGATGGAATTTGAAGTGAGAGGAAGAGGACTAGAATATATTTTAACCTGTCCTTCTGTAAGTGTAGGTAAAGGTATGTTTTAAAAGCTGTGTGGACCGGGCGCGGTGGCTCAAGCCTGTAATCCCAGCACTTTGGGAGGCCGAGGCGGGTGGATCAGGAGGTCAAGAGATCAAGACCGTCCTGGTCAACATGGTGAAACCCCGTCTCTACTAAAAATACTAAAAATTAGCTGGGCATGGTGGCATGTGCCTGTAATCCCAGCTACTCAGGAGGCTGAGGCAGGAGAATTGCCTGAACCCAGGAGGCGGAGGTTGCGGTGAGCCGAGATCGCGCCATTGCACTCCAGCCTGGGTAACAAGAGCGAAACTCCGTCTCAAAAAAAAAAAAAAAAAAAGAAAAGAAAAGAAAAAGAAAAAAAAAAAAACCTGTGTGTTCTGGCGTTCCTTCCTTTATGGGTTCCAGGTGGAGGATCTGATTCTCTCTCTGCTTGAGAAAAGACCCACAGGTGTCCGAGCGCCACTCCCCTGTAGTTCTGCCTTTGTCTTGGGATGCTAACGGGATGTCAAGAGCCGGGAGGAGGGAAGAGGAGAAAATTCTACAACCAAACGTGAATTGGCAGAAGAAATACAGTTTTATATGAGCTGTGTCTTTATTGCTTCCAAAATAGCAACCAGCAAGAAAGGCAAGTCTTTAATTTTTTTTCAGGCCTGCCATAATTTAAAAATTAAATCACTTTATCCCGTAAAAGATGCTTGCAACCTATTACATGGGTTTGTGCTATTTCTCTATTCTGGTAACTTGAGTATCTGTTTCACAAAGTTATCTTTGTGATTGAAATTTGTTATGCAGCTGTCTGCTAGGCCATCTCAGCTGATGAGGGCAAAGTGTTCTGTGTCCCCAGTAGTTTTGTTCTTTTCTAGTATCACAAGCTATTAATTAAAAAGCATGTATTATGACCAGAGGACAGAAGAATTCTCTAGGTTAAGTAATATTTGGGGCTTCCCCTAATACTCTTGTTTTCAAACTCTTAGTTGCCGAATCCTTTTTCCTTTGAAGATTTTGATACCGATTCTTCTTAGAATAAGACTGCATAGAGGCTAGCCACTGGACGTCATTTTGAATTACATACCACATTACTACCCTTTAAAAAACAGCTGTTTAGTTTTTCTTCCTAACTGTGAGCTGGGTTTTCATTTGTGTAATCTTACTTTAACTCTGTGGTTCTCAAGTGATTTTTGCCTCCCAGGGGACATTTGACAGTGCCTGGAAACAGTTTTGGTTACCTTAACCTGGAAGGGTGCTGCTACTGGCATCTAGCAGGTAGAGACCAGGGATGCTGCTAAACTCGTACAATGCACAGGCTAATATCCCCAACGAAAAAATGTTTGACCCCGAATGTCATTAGTGCTCAGGCTGAGAACTCTGCCAACTATAACTAGCTAAGGACAGGATGTTAAAAGGGAAAAGTAGAATAATCCATCCAGACTTGTAGAGACGACCAATTTTTTAAAAATACTTTTTATTTCTATAGGGTTTTGGGGAACAGGTGGTAATTGGTTAGTTACATGAGTAAGTTCTTTAGCGGTGATTGTTAGATTTTGGTGCAGCGGTCACCTGAGCAGTATACACTGAACCCAATTTGTAGTCTTATCCCTCCCCAACTTCCCACCCTTTCTTCCCAAGTCCCCAAAGAGACTACTTAAAAACAACAACAACAACAACAACAACAAAAACACACAAAACCTGTACCAGGCAATAGACTGACAAGAATACAAAACTAAAAATGACAAATTTCATTCATTTCTCTATAGCCCAATCTACACAGAAATTTAAGCACAGGTATATTATTTTCTCACATGTTGAATGTATACTGAAGTTGACCAAACCAGGAGGAGACACCCCAAAACAAAACAAACCGACCAGCAAACGTGGAGACAAGTTAATAGTAGCCACAATTTCCTACTACATGATGGCTCAGATTTCTAGACCTGTTTGAAAAGTTGAAGGAATCCGTGGTCTCATTCCTCAAACTGTTTTGTCCAATTGACCTGAAAATCTATCATTGGAAATTTTTTTAGCCTAACACTTTCTGCCCACCGTTTTCTAAACTGCGGGTAACTTTTGAAAGGCCAAGTTCAGCCATTTTCAGACTTTAACATTTAGTATGCATTAAATTGTGAGTGCAATTTCTTCCTCGAAAGTGGCCAGAAAGACTGGAGTTTGGGGAGGGATGCTTTGAAGCCTGTGATATAAATGATGAGGCCCTGGAGAGGTGCAGGGAAAGAGGAGGCAAGGTGGGGAGCCGTGGGGTAGGAAAGAGGAAAACTTTCGAAACCGAGAGGTAGAAGATGGCAACACAAATGCTTCCAGTTCTTCAGTGTTGCTGAAGGTCAGCTGTGCTTCCCCCCCCCACCTTCCCCCGGGCATTCGGAATTTTTACTCAAAAGGGCCCATTTTGGGGCATTTTTCTCATCCTGGAATTATCTGAGTTTGACATGAGTGTCTTGATAAAAACAAGATGTTAGAAGTGATTGTGGAGTTTCTCCTTCTCCAGCATGTGCACTGTACTCCCGCCTGCCTTTTGGCCTCCTTAACTTTTGGCAGGCCTCTTTCCGTGCGGTGGGAATGGATGATATTAAGCACATACTCTAAAGTAGCAAGCCATGTAAAAACATTGAGAAGAGAGAGCACTTTATCCCAAGCAGCATGTACGACATGTGGTATACGGAGTGAAATGTATGCTGCTTATGTACACTTAGTGTTCAGTTTATTCCAGGTGCTCTTCCTTAGGGAAAAAAAAAAAGGTAATTAGAAGTGCTAGATCTACCCTTGGGCTTCTCCAAGGAGGTGACTGCCTGTCTGCCACACTTCTTTGCTTCCAGACTTCAGAGGACGCTGAGACTTGGAAAGGCAGAGGGACCTGCCACTCCAGTGTGGAGCCGGGGTGGCTCATAGGTGTGCCTGACCCCTGGGCTCTTTGCTATTGCATGTGTTCCATGCCAGCCCAAGCATAAAAACATGGACTTGTGAAATTCAAAGGCAGGCTTCGGACCTTCTGGTTCACCCATCTCTTTATAGAAGAGGATACTGAAGCTCAGAAAAGTAATTAATTACCCAAGTTCACCTGTCGATTTCCTCTTTTGTTATACTGAACAAGCTTTTTACCACCTGGCCTTCTCTTCCTGCCATCCCTCAGCCTCAGTGGGGTCTTCCATTCCACTGTAGAGCATGTCCTGCAGGACCCCACTTTGGTTAGGCTTCCTCCATTTCAGGGTAGTGAGATACCAGCCCCTTTGGGCTCAGGTTGATTTCCTGGGGTTTTGGATAAAGCCAACTTTCCATCTCTTCACTGCTGCCTTTGGGGTAAATGGAACCATTGATTTAATAATATATGAACTAGATTCTCTCCCACCACTTCTCTTTGGTAGTATCTGGCAAGTCGATACCACTAATTTTACTTAATGAACACGATATTTACTGTAATAAATATTGTATGCTGTAAACAAATGAAGTCAGAAGCTAATAGTTCATTTAATTCTGGAAATCATGTAATCAGTACAGCAATGAAAGGACAATTCATGAGTCATAGATATTACCCCACCTTAGGAGCCTTTTAAGATGAGTTTGATGCCAAGTGACTTCAGCCTAGAAAAGGCAATATCCCCTCATGACATGCCCTGAGGGCTTTTATTTGTTTATAAAATGACCATTATGTAATTAGACTGACAGCGGTGTAACAATTGGGTTCTAAGTATTCTCATTTTGATTTATGATGCTATTTTATGTGGAAGGCCATGATTTTAAAGTTTAATTAGAAAATAAAATGTTACAGATGTAATGAACAAAAGAATTGTTTTTTAAATATTATAAGCATAAAACTAAATTTCTTCATCTACACAGTGATTCTGAGAACTCGTCAGTGATGTCGAAAAAGACAATTTAAGGTCTCATTATTGGAACTACTATTTTAAAACCATGAGATGTGTGTATACGATGCTAATTACACATGTGCCGTGGTC